TGCTCCCGCGCCTCGCTCAGCCAGTGAGCGGGAACCGGTCTGTATGTGGGATCCGAACCCTCGGCGGGAGCACCACCGCGCTTCCCAAGCGGGGCACTGTAGCAGTGCGCCACCGGGCCGGCCCGAGCTTTTTGTTCTTCATGAAGGAGACCTCGCCAGTTTTCCTATAAAAAGTCCTACATTCTCAATTTATTTTTAAATGTCCTACATTCTAAATTTATTTTCCTTCAGCTATTGTTTTTCTTATCTATCCTCCATATTTCCTATAACCAGAAGTTAAATCTGAAAACTTTATGAAGTTCAGGTTAAACATTTTAGCAAGAATATTTCGTAAGTAGGGCTATGTAGTTAAATTTTTTAAACAGCTTTACTGTGATATAATTCACATACCATCAACTCACTCATTTAAAGTGTACAAGTCAATGGTTTTTAGTATATTCACAGATACATCAACCACTACCAGAGTCAGTTTTAGAACATTTTCACCACTTCAAAAAAACCCACAAAACCATGGGCTGGCCCGGTGGCGCCCCCACAGCCTTTAGCTATTGCCCCTCCCTGCCAATGCATCCATCCTCCCTATCCCTAAACAATAACCCAACTACTTTCTATCCCTATAGACTTGCCTATTCGGGACTTTTTATATCAATGGAATCATATAATATTTGGTCTTTTGTGACTGGCTTTTTTCACTTAGCATAATGTTTTCAGGGTTCTTCCATGTTGAAGCATATATCAGCACTTCAGTCCCTTTTATAGCCAAATAACATTCCATTATATGGATATACCACATGTTGTTCAACCATTCATCATTTGATGGACATTTGGGTTGTTTCCCCGGTGGTATATGGATATACCACATGTTGTTCAACCATTCATCATTTGATGGACATTTGGGTTGTTTCCATATTTTGGCTATAATGAATAAGGCTGCTATGAATATTCACATTCAAATATTTGTCTGAAAGCCTGTTTTCAATTCTTTTGAGTATATACTCCACATTTAACCATTTGAGGAATTGCCAGATTGTTTTCCAAAGTGGCTGTATCATTTTATATTTCCACCCCAGCATATGAGGATTCTAATTTTGTCACATCCTCTTCAACACACTTGTTATTATCTGCCTTTTTGATTATAACCACCTTAGTGGGTATGAAGGGGTATTTCACTGTGGTTTTGATTTGCATTTCCCTAATGACTAAGGATGTTGAGCATCTTTCATGCAATTATTGGCTATTTGTATTTCTTCTTTGGAGAAATGTCTATTCAGACCCTTTGCTCATTTTTTAAATTGGGTTGTCTTTTATATATATTGAGTTTTAAGAGTTCTTCATAAGTTCTACACATAAGTCTCCAATCAGCTATGTGATCTACAAATATATTTCTCCTATTCTGTGGGCCGTCTTTTTACTTTCTTGATAGTGTCCTTCAAAGCACAAAAGTTTTTAATTTGATGAAGTCTAATTGATCTATTTTTTCTTAATTCATGCTATTGGTGTCATATCTATCAATCTACTGCCAAATCTAAGGTCATGAAGATTTACTCCTATATTTTTTTAATGAGTTTTATAGTTTTAGCTCTTACGTTTAGGTCTTTGATGCATTTTGAGTTAATTCTTTTGCATGTAATATCCAGTTGTCCTAGCAACACTTGGTGGAAATACTATTCTTTCCCATTGGATGGTCTTGGTACCTTTGCCAAAAATCAGTTGACCACAGGTATGCAGATTTATTTCTTGGCTCTCAATTCTATTCCATTGATCCATGTCTATCATTATGCCAATACCACACACCATTTTGATTACTGTTGCTTTGTAGTAAGTTTTGAAATAGGGAAGCAGAATCCTCCAACTCTGTTCTTTTTCAAGATTGTTTGCCTATTCTTGGTCCCTTGCAATTGTATATATATTTTAGGGTTAGCTTGTCAATTTCTTTAAAAAAAAAAACAAAACAAAAAGCTCCAGCTGGGATTCTAATAGGCATTGCATTGAATATATATAGATCTATTTGGGGGTATTGCCATCTTAGCAATATTAAGCCTTCTGATTCAGAAACATGGGATGTTTTTACATTTATTTAGATCTTTAATTTCTTTCAAAGGAGTTTTACAGTTTTCAGAATATAAATTTTGCATTTCTTTTATTAAATTTCCTAAATATTTTACTCTCTGATACTATAATAAATGGAATTGTTTTAATTTCATCTTTGTTCATTGCTAATGCATAGAAATACAAGTGATTTCTGTAGAATTACCTTGTATCCTGCAATCTTGCTGAACTTGATTTGTTCTAATAATTTTTTATGGATTCCATAGGATTTCTACATACAAAATCATGTCATCTGCAAATAGAGCTAGTTTTACTTCTTCCTTTCCAATCTGGATATCTTTTACTATTTTTTCTTCCTAAATACCCTGGTAGAACCTCCAGTACAATACTGAATAGATGTGGCAAGAGAGACATCCTTGTCTTGTTCCTTTTCTTAAAGGGAAAGTATCCAGTGTTTCACCATTAAGTATAATATTAGCTGTGAGTTTTTCATAGATGCCCTTATCTGGTTGAGGAAGTTCCCTTCTATTCTTACTTTGTTAAATATTTTTATCAAGAAAGGGTACTGGATTTTGTCAAATGCTTTTGCTCATGTAGTTTTGTTTTTTATTCTATTTGTATGGTATATTACATTGATTGATTTTTCTTTTTTTTCCCTTTTTGTCTTTTTTCGTGTACGGCAACGGATTGCAACCCTCAGTGTCGCGCCCGTACCGGACCGAGACCGGCAACGGGATGGCAACCCTCGGTGTTGCTCCCGCACCTCGCTCAGCCAGTGAGCGGGACCCGGTCTGTACGTGGGATCCGAACCCTCAGCGGGAGCGCCACCACACTCCCAAGCGGCGCACTGTAGCAGTGCGCCACCGGGCCGGCCCCTACATTGATTGATTTTTCAAATGTTAAAACTAAGTTTTACATAATATAGAGAAGCTTATGATACTGTATCATTCTGCTATTAGTGATGATGTTAACATTGATGACTGTTTTCAGATGATGATAGTAGGATACCTCCACTGTAAAGTTTCATTTTTTCCCTTTTGACTAGACAAATAATCTATGATAGGAAATAATTTAGAACCATGTGAATATAGTTCCTTGTCACACTATGTCTTAATGATTTAGCATCCATTAATGATCCTTGTCTGAACTGAATATTTTCTTACGGTTTGTAAAATGTTAGTTTTTCTAATTCTTTTTTTTTTTTCCTTTTTGTCTTTTTTCGTGACTGGCAACAGATCGCAACCCTCAGTGTTGCGCCGTACCGGACCGGGACCGGCAACGGGATCGCAACCCTCGGTGTCACGCCCGCACCTCTCTCAGCCAGTGAGCGGCCGGTCTGTATGTGGGATCCGAACCCTTGGCGGGAGCTTCGCCGCACTCCCAAGCGGCGCACTGTAGCAGTGCGCCACCGGGCTGGCCTAATTTTTCTAATTCTATCATCCCTTCTGTATTAGCTAGCATTCCTCTAAAAAGAAGAGCTTTTCTTGATGAACTAGGAATATGTAGTTACCACGAAATACAATTCCTACTGAAAATGCAGAATAAATGTTTATTTTAATCCTTTTAATTACCATTTTTTAGAGTAAGGAATTGATGTATAGCTACTGCCACGGTGACTAGAAGGTTTTATGTTACTAGCTCTCATTTAAGGTTCATTAAGAACTCATGGATTTTTATATATTCAATATGATTCAATTAATTATAATGGTTATTTATTATTATGTTTCGGATGCTCCAATTACCCAACAAAGGTCAATGGGAGTCTTTTCACGCTGGGTCCTAGGTTCTTCTGACACAAATCCATCCACAGAAGCTTTCCTTATACATTTCCTAACCCTGGCCTGGAATCAGGTATTTTAACAACAAGCCCAATTTCTTTTAGTGGAGAATGGTACTACGGAGCTCGACATCCAGGCCCTTGCGGTGTTCACTGCTATAGGAGTATTTGGAACAGTTTAAAAAGTACAAAACGTATTTATTCCTTGAAGTTTTGAAATGATTCATCTGTGAAGCTGTATGAACATGGCATTTTTGAGGAAGCACTTTCTTGTGACCATTATATGAATTTTTTCAATGGTTACTAAGTTTTCTCTCTGCTTTTGAAAAAATTATGTCACTTTATATTGTCTGATAAAATAATTCATTTTTAAATGTATTTGCAGAGAGTCATTCAAAGAATCTTCATAGTCCTTTTAATTCCTTCTGTATCTATGGTTTTATGGTTATTTTCCCATTCTCATCTTTGACTGTCTATATCTGAGCTTGCTTGCTCAAGTTTTTTTTTTTTTTTTTCCTTTTTGTCTTTTTTCGTGACCAGCAACGGATCGCAACCCTCAGTGTCGCGCCCGTACTGGACCGGGACCGGCCATGGGATTGCAACCCTCGGTGTTGCTCCCGCCCCTCGCTCAGCCAGTGAGCGGCCGGTCTGTATGTGGGATCCGAACCCTCGGCGGGAGCGCCACGGCACTTCCCAAGCGGCGCACTATAGCAGTGCGCCACCGGGCCGGCCCAAGTTTTTTTTTCTTGATTAGGATGTATCTATTTAATCTATCTGACTTTTTTTTCTTTAAAAAAAGCAGTTATTGAATTTATATGTCAATTCTACTGTTTTCTAATTCATTACATTCTTCTCTTATCTATTAATTACTTCCTTTTGTTCTTTTAAGCTTATATATTATTTACTCTTACTTATTCATCTTTTCATTGTAAATCCATTCCTTCTTTAGAGAAACTATCAAATCTTTAACTTCTCATAGGTGGAGAACAAAAGTATCAGAATTCTAAATGGAATTCAGTTTAACCCATACACAAAACATTCTTCTCTAACTTTAGCAAGCTTAAAATAGTTAGCAATTAAAATAATAATAATAATATAATAATACTAATTCTTACCTCTTTTGTAGTATCTGCTCTTCCAGGTTCATGATTTACACAAAAAGGGCCAGTTTTCCATGCCTCTGTGTCTCCACAGTCACAAAACCCTCCTCCAGTAGAAGTATGCATCTGATAAATAAGAAATATTTTTCTTGATTTCAAAACATTTAAAAGCAAGGAAGAATGATAAAGATAACTCAAATAATAAATGCAAACTAATACTTCAACCTTAATTGCCTTTAATGTAATAAAAATTTAATGTGACAAATACCATTTTGATTAGTTACCTAAAAAAAAAACAACCCCCCCCCCAAAAATCTTGAATATTTCACCATAACAAACACGGACCTTCAAAACTGATAAACTTTTGAAACATAACTCTAATTTTTAATATAAAATTAGTTGTTTAAATTTTCTTTTCTTTTCTTTTTTTTTTTTTGTCTTTTTCCATGTCCGGCAACAGATTGCAACCCTCAGTGTCGCCCCCGTACCGGACCAGGACCGGCAATGGGATCGCAACCCTCGGTGTTGCCCCCGCGCCTCGCTCAGCCAGTGAGCGGGAACCGGTCTGTATGTGGGATCCGAACCCTCGGCGGAAGCGCCGCCGCGCTTCCCAAGCAGCGCACTAGCGCAGTGCGCCACCGGGCCGGCCCCTAGTTGTTTAAATTTTCAATGGAAAATGGAGGACACATTGCAAAGTGCGCAAAAATACATATATAACACCTAGAATGCTTGAGTGATGAGATTTTTTTTTTTTTGTCTTTTGTCTTTTTCCGTGTCCGGCAACGGATCGCAACCCTCAGTGTTGCCCCCGTACCGGACCGGGACCGGCAATGGGATCACAACCCTCGGTGTTGCCCCCGCGCCTCGCTCAGCCAGTGAGCGGGAACCGGTCTGTATGTGGGATCCGAACCCTCGGCGGAAGCGCCGCCGCGCTTCCCAAGCAGCGCACTAGCGCAGTGCGCCACCGGGCCGGCCCCTAGTTGTTTAAATTTTCTTTTCTTTTCTTTTTTTTTTTTTGTCTTTTTCCATGTCCGGCAACAGATTGCAACCCTCAG